ATGTGCCAGTCTACAAAGAAGAAAAAGCCAAATCAGCACTTTTGCCTTCGCGAATCTTATCAGTTTCAGTATTATATTTCATTTGTTCTTTTCCTTGCATTGTAAAACGTACTTTTCATTTAGTCTCGATTCAGAACTCAATTCATAAACATCTCTCTGTACTCGGTTTTTTCTCAAATATTCAAAAAAAAAATATCGAGATATATATATATTTTTATATCGAAACAGCCGCGCAGGCAGAAGCCTAAATGCCGGAACACCGCGGCTGCTATGATGATCCCAAAGAAATTTTGTTAATACGATTTTTGAACTGCCTAAGGTTAGTAGAACTGGGAAAAGCTTCCTCTTGTAGATTGTAGATGTACGAAGTTTGACACGGTTAGGATGGGACGCCGAAGTCAGGCGGGTCTGTCTGGCAGGCACATCGCGCGGCGGCATCATGGAAGAGAGCTCTGATGAGCAAAGCCCGTTGGTGTAGCGGTAGAAAAGAGCTAGATCGCCGACGGCCCGCAGGTGCGAAAGAGTCCCGAGACTGTCTGTTAGAGAAGAGTCACCGATCAGTCGGACCGCCCTCCTCTGGACAGCATCGAGCATGGATAATGTAGTCGGGGCGGCAGCACCCCAAATGTGTGAGCAATACTCGAGGCTAGGCCTTATCTGGGCCTTGTATAGAGTGAGAAGGTCATGCGGAGAAAAGTACTTCTTAGCCCTAAACAAATAGCCTAGCTTTTTCCCAGCAGCTGCAGCTATTGAAGAGATGTGTTCGTGCCAGATCAGGTCCTCGGTGATCTGGACTCCGACCAGCCGAAATGAATGGCTCTTTGGTAGAACTCGGCCGTCCATCGAAACTGTATGAGCGCTAGGACGCTTTTTGTTCGTCAAAGTACAGTACTGTATTTTGGAAGCATTGAACTGTACAAGATTGTTGCGTCCCCAAACAGTGATAGCCTCCAGGTCTCTTGTCAGAGAAGAAGTCGTCGCTAGTCTTCTTTTTTCCAGCTCAGCGGCAGAGATCGGCTTGTCACTCTGAATTCCTGCATGTAGAGTGCTGTCATCAGCGAAGCTGTGGATTGGGTTGATCGTGCAGGAAAGGAGGTCGTTGATATGTAAGAGAAACAGTGTTGGAGCCAAGACCGATCCCTGGGGAACACCCGCGTTGACGTTGTGGGATGAAGAGGAGAATCCGTCAATTACGACGGATATCTTGCGGCCAGAGATAAAGTCAGACACCCATCTGCAAAGCTTTTCTGGGAGACCATAGGATGGAAGTTTGCTTAAGAGGGCAGCGTGCCACAACTGATCGAACGCTTTCGTGATGTCAAGAGCGACGACATGAGCCTCACCATGAGACTGGATGAGTTTACTCCACAGTTGCGTGACGTAAGCTAGGAGGTCCCCTGTGGATCGTTGGTGCCGGAAACCGTACTGCCTGTCGCTAATCAAGCTGTGACGTTCGAGGTAGTCCAGAAGCTCGCGATTTATGCACCTCTCCATCACTTTACTTATAACAGAAAGCAGAGCTATAGGCCTGTAGTTGTAAGGGTTGGGATGGGCTGTACATGAGCAAATTTCCAGTTTTCTGGGAAGGTGCCGGATTCATAAGATATCTGGAAGAGACGCGAATGAACTGGAGCAAGCTCCGCTGCACATCTCTTCAGTACAACGGCAGGAATCAAGTCCGGACCAGAAGCTTTGTTGATGTCGAGCGACAAGAGCACTCGTCTTACGGTCTTATGCCTGAATGTTACCTCCCGCATAGTGTGGGGAACCCTTTGAATTGACGGCACTTGGGCGTTGGTGGGGACGTCCATGGTGGAGTTGGCAGCAAAGATCTTGGCTAGCACTTCCGCCTTGGCGTTTGAGTCGAATACAATAGTTCCATCCTGACACGTAAGTGGTGGAAGGCCACTGTGTGAGAAGTTCTTTTCAATCTGCTTGGTCAGCGTCCAGAAAAACCGACTGCCATTGCGCTGCGACATTACCCTGTGCCTAACTTTTATATCATGCTGGTTTTTGGCATTGCGAACCGCTTCGTTATATTTGTTTCTGGACTCGACGTCGGCTTGTCTGTTCTCTACAGTGGGGTTTTGTAAGTAGGTTCTGTGTGCCTTGATCTTCTGCTGGCGAGCAGTGTCACACGATTTGTTGAACCAACCGTTGGACCCTGGTTTAGGAACTTTCACTGTGTGAGGGATGTATTCATCCATTCCGACGTGGATAATTTCGGTTATCGAAGAACAGACAGTCGACGCATCCGCGTCAGTGAAACAGTCATCTCTCCAAGGAAAGCTAGAGAAGCAGTCTCTGAGCCCCTCCCAGTCGGCATGTCCGTAGTGCCAAGTTTTGCGGCCTGTACGAGTTTCTGCTGCCACAGCGGCTTCTGACCGAAACCTAACCTCCACAACACCGTGATCTGAGTTACCCAGGGGGGACAGGACAGCAGTGCTGTAAGGGACAGGATGCGTGGTCAGAAAGAGATCCAGCAGGCTACTGGCGTGTGATGAGACGCGGGGGAAAAAAGTAGGGCTCGTCACCAGCTGGGTCAGCCCTTGAGTAAGAGCGAACGCTTCGACTGCACGACCTGCTGCATCGGTCTTATTTGAGCCCAACCGAAGCTCACTATGGGCATTGAAATCACCGAGAAGAACTACCTCTGAAGCGGGGTGATTGATGTTCAGGAAGTCGATCTGGACGACGAGGTATTCGAGTAGGTCATCCCAGTTATGGTTCGAGGGAGAGCGATAAAGGCAGCAAATAAATTTGGGTGATGTTTTGGAGTTGAGGCGAAGCCACAGAATGTCCTTCCGGTCTGATTCCAAAGAAAGATCCCTGGAACAGGAAAGACTGCTGCGGACAAAAGCCACAACTCCACCGTTCTTTCTCAGATTGGAGTGCACCTCGTAGTTTGGGAAGTTGAGATGGTTAATCGGTGCAGTCTCTGAGATTTTTGTCTCCCCCAAGAAAAGCACGGCGGGACGATAGGATTGCAGGTAGTGATGAACAGTATCAATGTTGCTGTTGATCCCGCAGATGTTCGAAAATTTTATCTTCGATGTTGTTCCCTCGAGCCAGCCCACCCTCCACCCGGACATTCCGAGAGTGGAGTGAGTTTACGTCCGGAGTTCTTAGTGCTCGAGGGATCCATCATCATTAATTTCTTTGTTTTGGAAGATAACCGACTGCATAGCTTAGGTGTGGAAACATGCGGACATTTATAAGACACCCTGAGAAAAGCTAGCGGGTGGTACCGCCTCGGTCGACTGGTCCTTGTCTACCACCTTCTTTTTACGTGTTAGTAAGATTAAATAGACCTAAAGTGGCCCGTTGGCGGACTTGTACCGCCACCCGGCAATCGGTACTGAGGTATTCCTTAACGCGTGCACAATCACTTGGACGGGAAGAAGTTGTATACTGGATACAACAACTTCCGGAACAAGCATTTGCCACGGCCCTCGCTCAGTAGGGTTCATATACCACTATATCGATGTAAACTTACAGCCCGCTACATTCCAAAATCGCAATGTTACTCTAAATAGTAACGAAAGAACCGGGATACGGTTTTTCGGTCCCGGTTTACAGTCCGATTCGAATTACAATGATAGCCCGCGAGTTTCGGAAACAGGATTCGTTGGACTGTTTCCTAGTACCAGATAACACAACTTCTTTGTATATCATTAATTTTTCCTTTTATCGTTATAAGATAGTCCTGAAATGTAACACCTACTATTAAAATGGAAAACTCACCCGTCCAGCATATTGACAACATCCTCGTCCTCACTATTATGTAACAACAGCATCAGACACTGCGAATGGCCGTTCTTGGCACTGTAGTGTGCGGCTGTCATGCGGTGCTCGTCTGTCATGGCCACCTTGGCCCCGAATCGTAGAAGGAAGTGAACAGCCTGGGCGTGGCCTTCACGAGCGGCCAAGATCAGTGGCGTCACGCCACGGCTGTTGCTCAGGTTTACGTCCTCGTAGTACGGAGTGAGGGAGTTGAGGATTTCCATACTGCCTAATTTCGCCTGAAAATGGAAATTATTAAATTTTGTCTCACAATCACCTTCCTGAGGATTCCAAGAATAAGCACCACCAAATCAACATGTCGCCCATGCATAATAAACCCATGGTGGAATCCAGTTTATATCAATGTTCGATAAAACAAATGAAGATATTAAACTAGGGATACCCACTGCAAATAGGTTGAATTCTAGATTAAAGGTTATATCGCATAATTCTGCTTGACATTTTATTCAAAAAGTAGGCTAAAAGTGATAAAGTGTATCGTTGCTAGCAATTCGTAACCACATAGAGGCAAGTATACCTACCTACAAGTTTTTTTTAATTACATTGCATCTTGTACCTTGTAAATACCTTTGACACTCGAGACGTTCCCGTGGTAACCAATTTAATGACGACAACCATTTTCAATATTTTTTGGTTGACATGTCAGTCAAAATAATGTCTAATACTCGTATTACGAGCTTGCGCTAAACCGTCGACAAGCAATCGTAGTTTTAGATCTTTCATATAAATTGCACTTGAACTTTGGGTTTATCGGGATACTAAGTGTTATGGAGGCAGTATCTGTATCATATCAAACTTTAATATAAACTGCGTTTGAACCATGATTTTATTAAGGCAAATATGCGTTATGGGATTTGGGCCTAACAATTTTCAAACATTGAAGAGATCGAGGAGTTTGGTGATGGCTTTAAACCCACAAGGTACAAAAAATCGCTCAGTAATATCGTATTACAGGAAACATAACTGGTCTCCAAAATCCCACATTTCCTGTGAGAGGTTTTTTATTTATTGATAAAGGTTAACAACAAAAATGCAAAAACAGCTGTATTCAGAGCGCTAAAACATAAACATATAATTGTAGCAATTCGAAACGATAAGCTGTGAGAAAATTGCGTAACTTTATAACTTGAGCAAAACAATAAATAAAATTACCTGAACAGAAAAGTTAATATATTTGAGATTAGTCATTTTTGTAAGTGAAGGCTGACCACTTTTTGCGTAGACGGCACATTGGTTCTGTTTTTAGCCATAAGAAATAATCCCAATTTTCTTGTCAGGACCATGAGGACGAATATTTGAAGTGTAAGTCATACACTTAGCTACCTCAAGTACTTTTATATTTTTTTACAGCTTTCGCGTGACCGACATGTTGGTCCTTATTCAGGAAAGTGATTATAGAATAAAATCTAATGGGAATATAGTTTCTATCGTTGTACCCATGCTTGTCTATAAATGTATAATATTACGTATGCTTACTTACTGCCAACTGCAGAGGTGTAACATCCTTGGAACGTTTATTGACTATCTTCTTTATATCACTGTTCTCCAAATTTTTCTGGTACTGACTGATCAGAAGACTTACACCAGCCAGATTTCCTCCGGCTATTGCGTAATGGAGTGGGGAAAAACCTATACAAATAATGGAAAACAGAATAGAGCTTTGATGAATATTTCTTATTTTAACAATCTTTACTCAATTATATCCAATTTCAGATATTTTATATTTGTAAAAAATAAATTAGGTTTAAAATATCTTCGCTGATGGAAAAATCTAGTTAAGGCAACTGATACAAAAATTTGTGCAGAACCGAAGTATGAACTGAATTGTGAAAAAAGTCTTCACTAGATTGGACTGATATGCTTTATTGATTGAAGAATACTATCATTCTTAATGACAAGACTAACTTAGAACTAAGCTATAACATAAGTACATATGTGGATCTTAAGTAGGTGAACTGTTAAACTCACACATGGTGTAATATGGTTTACATATTAGGAGGTTTCAAGTTCGCGGCGGAATATCTTTAACTTATTAGTTCTTTTGATGGCATCCGGGATACACATGTAAATTTTCAGACCATTATAAATGATTTGAGTGTTGATATAGGTACTACTAATTTAAGATCTTATTTTCGTCTAACATTGTAGCTTATATTTAATGTTTCAAATTTAGATTTATTATTAAAAGCAAGAGTTGCCGTTTTCAAAATCAACAATGATACGATTTTTTAAGATTTACAAATAAACATGAAGCTATAGAATTTATTTTAGATATATATCTAATAGTTCGTTTTTGTAGAATAAGCACTTTTTCTAAACAATTTTGGGAACAGAAACACCAAAAGGGTATAATCAATCTACTTTCAAATAAGGCAAAGTAACTGCTTAAGGCTGTGCTGAGCTACGTTGTAACTCGTTGTATTTATTTTTTTTATACCGAAGCAGCCGCGCAGGCAGAAGCCTAAATTTTGTCAATCCGATTTTTGAACTGCCTAAGGTGAGTAGAACTGGGAAAAACTTCCTCTTGTAAATTGTTCCACAATCTCGACACCCTCGGGACAAAGGAGCGGTAGAAGTTCGACACGGTTAGGAAAGTCAGACGATTCTGTCTGGCAGGCAAATTGCGCGGCAGCATCTTGGAAGAGAGTTCTAGGAGGAGGGTTATAATAAAGGAAATCTTTGATAGTCGAGTAAGCAATGGTCAGTCCCAAAAGTTTGATGGTGTCTGCTGAATCAATTCATTATTTAAATTTAAAAAATCAAGGGAGCATAAATTTTATCTTATTAACATTGAAAGTCAAGTAATTATCACACCACTTTTTGACTGATTGTATATCACTACCAATTTTTGTCTTGATTTCATTTATATCTGTGTTTTGTCAAAGTATACTGGATCATCAGCAAAAACTACGAATTTACCATTTATGTTTAAGTTTATTAAATCATTGATATAGACTATAGAATAGGACCGGGCCTAATACCGATCAATGAGGTGTCCTTGCGTTGATATTTAATTTATTTGCAATATAATGTTTTGATAATTTTACAATTTGGGATCGCTTATTTAAATATTCACGTGAATTTTGTCCAACAATTCACCGTGCTAAGCAAAACTTTCATCGTTATTTTATGATATTCTGTTGTTTTCTCCAGCCGATCGTATGGATAGAAAGACGTATCTGACGTCTGGGCCCCCATTGTGCTCCTTTTCTTACATCTTTGCGATTCAAAGGATGAACTAACAACGTGTTGTGAACGTGTACACAAATTCACAATTAACTGAAAACACGCGTTTTGTGTTCAGCTTTTAAAAAATCGGTCATCGTCGCCATAGCTTGAAAATCATCTGCGTCGACCCCAACCCCTCGGATTATGAATTCGGCTATAGACAGTGAAAACTGTTCTGGCTTTAAATATGTGACTTAGGAGCTAGAGCAATGTTTCCAAACTAACGAAGACATCTCCACTTCACGTCACCAACAGTTCCTACCCACTGTTTAACCGAAAAGAAGCCTAACACATCTGCTACCTCCGGCGGCGTATGAAACGTGCAAGACTGTTGACTGTATTTGAGATTTAGGACACCCACTTAACAAGTTTCGTGACATATCGGTCCCCAGGGGGTCCATTTTACCAAAACATAGGAGATGGCACTATCAACTTCACGTCCTTGCCATATTGTCCGTAGCTTACAGATTAGGCGGAAAATCCCAGGTCGCGTAGCACAAACCTTTATATATAGGACCCAGGAGCTAGAAGTGGCATGGATTATTCTAAACAAACTTACTGCCTTAGTTGCCGACTGCCATGTCATGTTGGCGTTTCTCTGTCGTCTACGGATCAATTTAAACTGAACTGTCTATAATCAAATCCAAGCGAATAACAAAAATTTTTGTGTTATGTACCGCGGTTATAGTATGGTTTAAGATGACACACGGGTGGATGACGTCATTTACTCGAATCGCTTGAACGCGTTGGTTTTAACCGCGGTTTTGTTGCAAGTTGTTTATTTTAGAAAAGCGCGTATATAATTTCTGATTATTTTTGTTATTACTTAATAATCGATGATTTTTCGGCTACAACAATGTATGGAAAGTTTAAAAAAGAAACCTTTCATAAAATTAATGGGAGAAATGTTTTTTTTTCAGAAAATAATTTTTAATGATGGAACCATGGCTTTGTAGCTATGATAACCTTTAATTCTCTAAACGTTTCCGCATGTCAAAGAAAACAAGTATTGACTTAGCAGAAATGATAGGAAAAAGCGATGAAAAAAAGATATTAGCAAAATCGTATACAGGTAGACATTATCCAGGTAGTTTATATGGCCATATTTTAATATTCTTGTGGTATATGGCTACACAGGATACTTTGTTAAGCATAGGAACTAGATTTACAGTGTCCCCAACAACAGTAATGAGTATAACTAATAAGGTGCTCTACTACAACTGAAGTCAGCCTGTATCAAGTTTCCCAAAAATGAAGCTGAAGTACAAAAAAATATCCAAGACCCGGCAAAATTCTAACTTGTCACATTTCAAATAATAACCAGAAATATACAACTACTGCTGAGTTGGGTAAATACGACAATTTTGCGGTGATAACTATGACATATAACAGCTGATTCATGACGTCATGGATCTTACTGATAACCACACTCGCTTGAATGGATCGATAAATACCAATCCAAAATGGTAAATACCATCTTCATTTGGTTATTCGCTTGAATTTGATTATTGTTACAAGTCACATAAACGGTTGAGTTGAGGGTATTGTTTGTCTTGTTTCATGTGTGAATATATGTCTCCTGTTACAACTCGCTTAGAAAGTTTACAATTGGCCAACCTTGTTCAGGAAGGAAGATCCTTAAGGTATATAGCGCGCCTGCTGTACCGCTAACTGTCCTTTACTACTGCTAAAAGTACTGAGAAGCAAGGGAGCACGGCGCCCTGGCCAGGGACGACAACGGTGCAGGATCATGGGGAAGAACCGAAAATTAATAGTGATGCTCTTCGAAACCCAACCCACATAGCCGCTGAACTTGTTTATACACAGCAGGCCTGAGGTCTAACAGACCTAAAAGGGCACCACCCCTAACTTCCGCCCATAGGAGCGCACGCCTAGAGTTTGCCCAAGAACATATCAGGTGGAATCGGAGTCAGTGACAAAATGTCATCTTCAGCGACGGTTCTGCTTGTACAGGTGTGACGGTCAAGTGCGGGTATGGAGACGGCGAAACGCACGATTTACGGCTTGGCCACGAGGATCGACATTGCTTAGAAAGTAATAGTTTTTTTGTAGTGTAAGCATATTAGACGAAAATACCTCTGGTTTGCGAAATAATTCTAGAGCCTGGTTTTATTGCTGCAAGTTGTTCAAGGGGGTATTCAAAACATGGACGCATAAAATGGACCAATTTTTGTGGCAAAACTTTTTATTCGACAACAAAGAATGAGAAAACGTGTTTTCTGGGACTCAATTGAAACAAAAAAACTCTTCATATAAGATTTTTAGGTATTTATGCGACCTACAAAATGAGAATACACGTAAAAAGATCCGACTAATAGCAAATAAATTATGGTCGAAAACCGAGGCATAATGCAGGTTCTGGCACTTGTTAGTAATGCGACGATGGTTTCTCGCAGATATTTGAAATTCTCCAAATTCGTAGGATTTGTACTTCTAAACAACCACAACAAAATTGGAGTAGAATGGTCAAGTAGTTTTTTAGAAATTCTAATTGTTTATCCCAAAACACCGGTCATCACTACTAGTTTATTGAGCAATATACAGAGATATGTAGTTCAAAGGGCATTTTATAGCAAAATACACTAGTTTACTTTGCCGGTATGAATTGCAAACTGTTACGGAAGATAAATGTTATTTTTATGCAAAAAAGGACGGGTTCCGTTTTTTTCTTCTAAACAAATTCAAACATTTCGTATTTGTGAGTAATTCGCAATAAAAGATGAGATGAGAGAATTTCCGCGATTTTTCTAGGAGAGGATGACCTTGGTATTGCCAGTTCGCCGATAAGACATTTCACCCCCTGGCTTACTCCGTAGTGATTTGCCTGTCGCTTCGCCATTCGCCGCTGCGCGTGGCTTGATAAGTTAGTACATTTCTATGCGTTTATTTCAATCGCTGGATGCTTCGACGTTCGCACCGCGCGAATATTCGCTATGGCGAATATCCTGTGGACAGGCCGTACGGGATTCCTGCGTATTTAACAAAGTACCGTATAGCGGGCGGTCAGTGATGGTTTGGGTCGGCATAACTTCCCGATAACGCACACCACTAGT